AACGTTCATTATATTAAGTAAATTACCATAAACCCAGCATCAATTATTAAACCCCGAACGACGATGACTCTTCCTCGGGCAGCCCGGCCCGATCCCCCTCGCTATCGGGCCTCTGCCTCCTCTTTTTCTTCTTCTTATACGGTATTCCTCGGGCCCTTGCTTGGGCCTCCCTCACCTCCCTCAAATAAACCCTAACCGCCCGGTCAGCAAACGGGTTCGACTCGGGCAGCCCGCCGTTCTCCTCGTAGGCCGCCCTCAGGCGGCCCACGAGGGCGTCCAGGCTGCCCCACGCCTGCCTGAGCGGGCAGCCGCACGGGCCCGGCGGGTCGGGCTGCCCGAAAAACGGGCACCCGTCCACGTGGACCTTGGTCTTCCCGAACTGGTCGAGGTAGCGCATGAAGTCGAGCACGTGGGTGTAGGCTGACTCGTGTGGGCCTACGGGCGGCCGGTGGTTGCGGAGGTACTGACCGAATGTGTTCCAGTCCCGACGCTTCTGAGACTCGTAACGGCTCGGTTGTGGGCCCGCCAGCTGGCGAGATGATGATCCACCTGGATTATCATTATTGGGCATCATTTTTTTTTAATTTTATTTATTTAATTTTGATTTTTTCTGTTGTTGTTGTGTGATTTGAGTTTTTGAGAGGTTTTGGAGTGGGTGAACATATCAAAATCAAAGTGTGTTTTTTGTATTAAAGAAGAGGGATTTGTGTGTATATATGGGTCCAAATGAGAGAGAAAAATGAAAGTGATTTTTAGGTGATGATATTAGACTTTTAATCTTTCTCTCTCTTTAATTATTTATTTGATTTTTATTACCTAGGCAAAAAACACTGTTTTTTCTTGCTTTTCTCTTTAATATGGTACATGGTGTAATAATTAATCAACGTGGAGTGAGATTTTATGTGGGAATTTTGTATTTTTATCACTTGTCTATAATGTTGTCATATTTGTAGATTCAAGTACACAAAGGGCTATAAACTATTTTACGTGTTTATAAATTTAATATTGTTGATATGGCTCATATATTGACAAATGAAAGAGGCAGGCCGATGCCTGCGAGCGGAGCTCCGCGAGCCGCAAAACACACTTTGGAATATTTGGAATATCGTGAATAATAAGATCTCTGTTCCGCCGTGGACGTAGGCACATTGTCGAACCACGTAAATCTTGTGTCATTTACTTTCTCGTTTTTTTAATTCGTATTGTTCCCGTTTCACAACAAATATGTATGTCAAATTGGTAACACTTAATTTTATTTCGAGTTCCTCTGGACGTATCAGAAATTTGTAATAATAAATGGTACCTCAAGTTTCACTCGGCGTGCCAAATTTATAACAATAAATTTTATGAAAAAACATAAAACTTCTGTACGTACAACTTGATTTTATTTTGATCAAACCATTTTGTGGGTAAAATCTCTACATGTCTCATCTGATTCTTCTTTTCATGAACTTAGATTTGGATTGTGAGCTTAGATTTGGATCTTCAAATGGATTTGACACTTGGATCTTCTTTGGGCGTGGACTTGAATGTGACTAACATTAGTTCAGGGGTCAAATGACTTATTCCCGTATTAAATATTAGGACTTGATTTGATTGAAGATGGCTTCTTGGAAGACTTACTTCTTCGATCTTCCTATAATATGGATTTTGGCTTGAATAATGTTGACTTGAGGGTTTGATAGTTTTTTCCTAAATCAAATGCTATGTTGCTTGAACTTCTTGATGAATGCGGCTTGAATACAGTTTTAACATCGTTCATATTCTTGGATTGATTTGCGATGAGTGGATGTCAGGGGTCGCCTCTTTATTTATTGGAGAAGGACTGCCACCTCTTTTCTTTTTCTTTATTGAACATATATACTTCGGCTGTTTGAATGCATAATTAGTTGTGGACTGGACGTCGATCCTAAACTTGAATGCTTTTGGATTTTCAAGAATGTCTTCAAATTTCAAGAGAATGGTTGAACTTAAGACTTTGATTTATGAAGTGTGTTTTGCGGCTTTGAGGAAAACTCTGTTTATATGTGTAAGAGAGAGAGTCTTGAGAAAAAAACATCAATTTAATCGATCCTTCATAATTTGATATAATTTTTTTCCTTATCCTAAGATATGACTTGGTGGGCAAAAAATATTTACTTTATTATTAATTATTTTATTTTTCTCGAATTTATATCTAAAATAATAAAATATTAAACGTCCTATATCTACTGAGGCAATTGGATATTGATTAATTTGGTTATAATCTAACTTGGTGAGTTAAACTGGGTTATTTTGAATAAAGTAAATTAATAATTAAATAATATTTAAAATGTAATGATTATTAAAGTTGGTATAATGTAAAAGTAAGAAAGATGTTATAGAAAGTCATAGATAGTTAAAATTATATGAGCGGATGAATAGTTAATTAAAATTAATGTGATATATGATGAGAATGATTGTTTGATACTATTTAATTATAGTTAACTCTTATGATGCTCTTTTTATGAGTATATTTTACAAGTAAAATACTCCGGTATTACACGAATAATTTGTTAGTAATTTTATATTTAAAACTAAAAACAAAATCTAATAAGGTTCAAATAATTTTTCGACATATCACATTATTATTTATATTTAAAATGACACCGCCACTTATAAACTTACCATTTTAAGTTATAATAATTTATTTTTAATTTATATATTATAACTTCTTTGTAGTTAAATTAATTTAAAACAATTTTAGTTATTCCAATTAATATTAATTGGTAATTTATTTTTATTATAAAAATAAATATATTTATTTATTTTGTATTTAAAACACGATTAATTTAACATATTATATATAAAATTGATAATAAATAAAATATTTATTGACTCTTAAATAAATTTATAATTTAAGTTAGTAATTCTTATATAATTATAACAGAAAGATGAGGGAAAAAATTATGCTTTATAACTCACGTCTAGAAGAAGAAATGATAATAAAAAATAATCAATGTACTTAAAAATGATCATAAATGTTCATTATATTTATGAATATCCCAAGTCTAGTTATTTTTGGATTAAAAGTAAATTAAAATGTATCAAAATTAAATGATAAAGTATGAAAATTTGCCACAAAGAATCACGAAGCGTGCAAGTCTGCCACTTAGGCTCAGTACATTCGGGAACTATATATATGAGGGCTTTTTTATTTTTCATTGGGGGAGGGAGCTATCGATCATATGGAAGGAAATCATTAATTATTATGTGTGTTAGTGAAGGTGGGGGGTTGTTTAACCCATAAAGCGGTGATTGGATACAAATTAATCTAAAAAAATTCAATTTCAATTTAATCGAACTTATTTTAACTCAATCTCACTATCTTTAATATTATGGAAATTTCTAGTTAAATCCCCCCTCCCTTTTTCAACTTCATGTTCAGTTCCTCTTTTAATTTTTTCCCTCTGCACTCCCTACCCCTAATTTTGTCTTTCCATTTCACTCCCCATATATATATTAATGTTATTATTTTTCATTTATTTTGCACTAAAATTGCCAATTCTCTCTCTCATTTTTTTCAACTCTCTCTCTATTCCCGTCTCTCTCCCTTTCTGTCTCTGTGAAATCGCCTCTCTCAATTCCTGTCTCTTGTGAAATCGTTGCGCCTTCCTTTCTCTTTTTTTTCGGTCGACGTTCGTCTCCCTCTCTCTCTTTTTTCCCGTCGCCTCCGTCTCTCTCTCTGTCTCAATGGCCGTTCGTCTCTCTCCGGCGGGAAGCAATGGCCGCTCGAAAAAGAAATCTCCATCCGACGGGCACAAATCGTCCTCCTCCTCGACACTCACCAGGGCAAGGGTAATTTCTGATTTTTGAGGTTTTTTTTTTCCTAATTTTAGGGCTTTTTTCAATTTAGGGCTTTGTTCACAATTTTCATTTTTGTCTTGAATTCGAAAATTTTAGGGATTTCAATTCTGTTGAGGGGTAAATTGAGGGGTTTGCTCAACTCTGAATTTTGAGACATCAAAATGGTATGAGCTTGATGTCGACGGGCGCCTTTGTTCTTTTTCAGCTATATATTGAGTTTTGAATGTATTCTATTGCTTCAAGAATGTCCAATGTTGTTGGCTTCATGCAATTGGTGTAATCAAATGGTGGTTTAGTTTCAATGGGTTTAATATCTTGGGTAAATTCTAATTGATTATTGTCATTATCTTCAAGTACAGTGGATTATTATCATGATGGAGGCTGTCTTCAATGGACAGGAAAGTTTAACAGGGCTTTTGACTAATATGTTAGTTTGAATGAGGAAAGATAACCAAAATACTTAGAGATGGTCACATTAGAGTGATGTGTCTGAAGTTTTATATAAATTTACTATAAAATGCTTGGAAGAATTTGTCAAAATCAATGGATTTTCTCGTGTATGATGCTACACATTGTTTGTAGTATTTTTGGGCATGTGGTAACCGAGCTACCCGACTCGGGTCGTTCTCAAAGGAAGGCTGTTCGGAGCTTTGTTCACTACCTAGTCGTCAAAGTCACATAACCGAAAATAGGGTCCTAAACATTCTACTCGCTTGAAGGGATTGGATTCGCATGAAATTAAACTAAGAATTTAGAGCAAATGATGAAAGATGCAAATATAGAGAGAAAAATCGAAACTTTAGTCTACCGGAATCTCCATGACTAAAGGAAAAGAAAAATAAACAAGAGAAAACATACGAGTATAGTGATCCTAGGTCAGCTAATACGAGCTTTCAACACTAGATCATCACGCTTTTAGCAAAGTCGAGATCTATACACAAGATAAGCACATATAAATTCCTAACACACGTAAGCAAGTATAAAAATAAAGAAAAACCAAGAAACGAGCATAAACACACAATTCGAAAGACAAAGTCGAAGTAGTAAGGCCTAAGCAAGGTACCTACTCTCCCATAGCATGCTCGGACGAAAATAGTGAATAAAGCTCGAAACTTGAATGAAAATAAACTTGCCGGAATTTCGCCGGAAAAATAGTCATGAACTCCCAACCAAAGCATAAAAAAAAAGAAAAGAGGAGAGAGAAGAGAGAAAATGGAGAGGATTTCCCAACTTAAAAGTTGGGAAATGAGGGTTTTTGTCCAAAATTACAAACCACAATGTCTTTATATAGCTACACCACAAACAAACACTAAAAACACACACATTTAGTAAAAAATGACACAAACACTCTCGAGCTCGCCAAAATTTCCTCTAGGTCGCAAGTTGGCACGGGCACTGGGCGCTGGACTCGCGCGGTCGCGGGCTGGCACGCTCCGGACCCAGTCATGGCCCGGGACGACTCGGGTGGTTCGGTTGGCTCGTTCGGGTCGGTCGGCTCGGACGGGTCGGTCGGGTCGGGTCAGTCGGCTCGGGCGGCTCGATCGGGTCGGGTCGGTCGACTCTGGCAGCTCGATTTGCTCTAACTTCTCGCACGCTTAT